CGAGATCACAGCGTCACGCCAATAGGCAGGACTTCGGAGTTACGGGAATACCATACGGTCTGCTTCTCTGCTTTCGATATGTCATATGACAATGCAATAATGATATTGTGAGGGAAGCAAACAGGGGGGCTTTCAACCCACACCTCAGCTGTTGATCTATTGAATAGGATATTTGCGTGTGAGATGCATCAGTTGAGTGCTTGGAAAGACGAGCAGACGTGCTATGCGAATCGACTACACGAGCCTGGCACGCAGGTAGGTAATGATGACTCTTTTGGCGGTGATTCCAAACCCCACCAGACCGTGGTGGGAGTCTCATTTTATTACCCGTCGAAAGCCGCCGGCTGTGGATATTCCACCGGAACCAATGCCGCCGGGCTGTTGTGTCGGAGGAGCGCGCCTCCACAATAGCTTGCTTGGCATGAGACCCGGAACCCTGACACTGGTGACGAGTAAGTCGGGGGTTGGAAGAGTCAGGAGTCAATGGGAGCGGGCGTATTACCAAACGGTGAAAGACACGGGCTCCCGAAAGCCTCGTTTTCCCGCCAGTCAAAGACTTCATGCCGAGCAAAGTGAGGTAAGTATGCCCGGCAGCGTTAAGAACTGCAGCTTCGCAGATAGAAGGCGTCTCCGTGGCACCATATGTAGGCTGTCGCGGAAAAACAGATTAACAGCAAGCAGCAAACAGCAAACGGCAGAACCACACCGACTCGTTGTCTGCGTTCTCGTTGGTGGCTGGGCACGATGCAGTTTCTTATCAGTCGGCAAGGTTAGGTAATTGGGAGACTGGTGAACTCTGACTGGTCAGTCCGCCAATGGGTGCGAGAGCCGAGATCGGCCCAGGGGACCAGCTATGTTACACTAGTGCAGCGCAGCAGATTAGCGTATCGTGCAGATGCAGCCAGTCACTGTGGTTCCGTCGCAGCGGACCTGCAATTTTGGCACACTCTGACACCCCTTGGGGATACTTTGGCACAGAGTTGTAGACGGCCCTGACGTTTCTGACCCTTATCGAAGCACCGGCTACGGCCTCCGACAACCCAAGCTTGGTAAAGTACCGGGTGTCAGGGCTGGGCTTTTTGTCGGATGAGCCAGGTGCTAGGGGGGGATGTCATTGTATCAGAAGCGCGGTCCAATGCTTCCAAGTAGGTACTCTCTGGGGCCGTTGCGGCAAATGGAAAGGGTAACTAATGTCATAAACAAATAACGATAAAATAAAAACTGGGTGAAGCGCAGGAAGAGTCATAATTCTTTCACTCCCACCCCTTCACCCGGTTGCTCCCACCTCTTGCTCCGTATTTATTCTCCCGGGACACGTCTTTCGCCTCTTCGACCTTTTCTTGCGTTGCAAAGTTCATCCCATACACATACACAAACACACTGCCGTAGCTTCGAGAGACTGCAATCATGTGTGGCATTTTCGCTTGTCACCGGTAAGCCCAACTGCGAGATCGTCCCTACTTCGGCGCGGATGGAGGGGCAGCGCGAGCTCCCCTCCCAAAAAAAAATTAACCCCGCCATGATGCCTCTGGAGAATGCGACTGACCGTGTGCGCGCGCAGTCACCCCGACGTCCAAAAGTTCAAGCCTACGGCTTTGAAGCTGGCAAAGGCGTAAGTTTTCCATCGTCCATCTGCAAGGCGCATCAATTGACCCCCAGTTCGCAGCATCCGTCACCGTGGCCCCGATTGGAGTGAGTTCTGAGTCACCGCGATGCGCTACTTCGGCACCAACCAAGCAGACAACTGACAAAACTTCCTCGCTTAGGCGGAAGCGTTATTTCCAACAAGACGAGTACGTTGAACTTGATCTCGACGATTGGTATTCCATCAATTGACCATCAATCGCAGTTCTGTGCCATGAGCGTCTTAGCATCGTCGGCGTCGGTATGTCCACCCTCAATACCTGGCCACGATTTCCACGGCTAACCACCCTCACAGAATCCGGCGCCCAGCCCCTTACCAACGATGATGAGAGCATCGTCCTTGCCGTCAACGGTGAAATCTACAACCACCGTCTGATCCGCAAGTCCCTCAAGCACAAATACCACTTCAAGACCGGTTCCGATTGCGAGGTCGTCATCCCTCTGGTGAGTCAAGATCACCCCGCGACCTGATACCCACAATAGTAGACATGGATATCTAACGTATCACAGTATATGGAGTATGGCCTCGATGCCCCGAAGCACCTCGACGGCATGTTCTCCTTTGTCTTGTACGATAAGAAGCAGGACCGCACAATCGCCGCCCGCGACCCCATCGGCATCACCACCCTCTACTACGGCTGGTCCTCAAAAGAGCCTGATGCGGTGTACTTTGCTTCCGAGCTGAAGTGCCTGCACAGCGTCTGCGACAAGGTTGAGGCCTTCCCGCCTGGTCACATCTACGACTCTGCCACCGGCAAGACCACAAGATACTTCGAGCCTACCTGGTGGGACGCCGCAAAGGTCCCCGAGACCCCCCTCGACCTCAAGTTGATCCGCGAGAAGCTCGAGAAGTCGGTCAGAAAGAGACTCATGGCTGAGGTGCCCTACGGTGTCCTGTTGTCCGGTGGTCTGGATTCCAGTTTGGTCGCGGCCATTGCCCAAAGAGAGACTCTGCGGTTGAAGCAGGCGGCCCTTGAGGCCAACGGTGGTGCGCTCCCCATGACGGAGAACCCCGACACTGGCGATGGCATGGTTGGTATCGACGACGACAACAAGCTGTCAACAGTCACATATCTTCCTCAGCTCAACTCCTTCTCCATCGGTCTCCCTGGATCGCCCGACAACAAGGCTGCCCTCGAGGTCGCCAAGTTCCTCGGCACTAAGCACCATGTCATGACCTTTACCATCGAGGATGGTCTTAACGCTCTGTCCGACGTCATCTACCACCTCGAGACCTACGATGTCACCACTATCCGTGCCTCCACACCGATGTACCTCCTTTCCCGTAAGATCAAGGCCATGGGCATCAAGATGGTTCTCAGTGGTGAGGGAAGTGATGAGATCTTTGGTGGTTACCTTTACTTCCACGCCGCTCCGGACAAGAAGGCGTTCCACGAGGAAACTGTTCGCCGTGTCAAGAACCTGCACCTTGCCGACTGCCTGCGCGCTAACAAGTCCACATCCGCTTGGGGTCTTGAGGCGCGTGTGCCCTTCTTGGACAAGGAGGTGAGTAGAGTGCAAATCCCGATGATATCTCGGCTTAGCTGACTTTTTATTTCCTGTAGTTCCTTGAGGCCTGCATGAACATCGACCCCTCAGAGAAGATGATCACCAAGGAGAAGATGGAGAAGTACATCCTCCGTAAGGCGTTCGACACCTCTGACGAGCCCGGCGCCGAGCCGTACCTCCCGGACAACATTCTGTGGAGACAAAAGGAGCAGTTCTCCGACGGTGTCGGATACGGATGGATCGACGGCCTCAAGGACACCGCCGAGCTCCACGTTACCGATGAGATGATGAAGAACCCCAAGCCGGAGTGGGGCAGCGACATCCCGGACACCAAGGAAGCGTAAGCATCGTCCAATATTTATCCCTCTTCTGTTGTTGCGAAAGATCAGGCGCCGCTAACACACGATTTGACAGATACTGGTACCGCCTCATGTTCGACGAGCACTTCCCGCCGCATTGCGCCTCGACTGTCATGCGCTGGACCCCCACATGGTCCAAGCAGACGGACCCCAGTGGCAGGTGAGTCACAAGACGGCCCCCTCTCCCCAGTTCCCCAGTGAAAATGAATTGGCCAAGCCAGTTTGCTGACCCGTTGCATGACAGAGCTATTGCCGTCCACGAGCAGAAGTACGAGAACGCCGCATAAAGTGGTAATTTGGAAGAAAGACAACCTGTATCCTAGCACTTTACGTCAATGCGGGCGGGTAAAGGTAGAGGCGTCCTGGTTTGTTGGATTATGTAGACCCTCAACAAGTTTAGAGTCTCAAAAAATGGGAATTGAAGTTGTGATTACTATCTGCCATTGCGCCTTCATGAGTATTTGTGTAGATCGTTATTATGACGAAAAGTCTGATGAAGGTATTTCTGGCCGTTTCCTTCTCTGTGTTCCTCTCCATAGGTAGTCAGGTCTTGGCCTGTTGTGTTGGTTCCTGGAGCTCACAAGAGAAAGCAACATCCCAGAGCCTTCCCCAGCTTCCTTTGACTTCTTCCATCCAAGAGTCCACTTTGTGTGCAACAATAATTGAGTGTGATTGCCCGGGAATGTTAGTGTAGTGCCGGTAATTGGCCAAGTGAGCATCCACAGTGACTCGGTTAGCCCCCAATATGAACAGTGAAGATGATGGACAACAGAGTCGGCAGTCAAAAGGTAAGGTGACACAATGGAGTAATTAGAGTTACACCACAAAGACAGGCGTATGAAGAAGAATGAGCGGTGGTGCGAAAAGGGACGGACAGAGGCAGGAACTATGGGAAATAATTCTGTGCCTGCCTCTTCTCTCAGGCTTACTGTAAGAATCTCACGCCTGCCGGTTCTCGCTAACTCTCTTATTTTCTGTCCCGAATTCAACCTTCCACTTGCTCTCGATTCACCATCTACACATTCACTCAGACACACGCAAACGAGTACAACAATCAAAGAATAAAATTGAAAAATCGCATTGAGCACCTGAGCCTTAGGTAGCCCACACTGCTGGCACTCGACATCCACTCTCTCAGTGCTTTACTCTACCTTATTACGATCCCCTGTCCTCCAGAGTCCCATCTGAGCTGGCCAGCCGACAACAATCCCAACAAACCAATAACAGATCCCCCACGTGCAGCCAAAAGCGTCCTAGTGCGACTCCGTCACAGCAAAGCTCCTCCGGACCGAATTGCGCCGGGAATCCCCGTCAACCAATTGATGCAACCAAAACATTTTCTCGAACAGCTTCCGCCCCAGCAGACCATCTCCTGAAAGGACACCTGCAACCCGCCTCTTTTTGCCCGTCGCATCTCGTCAACCGCTTTCCCATTGTCTACTCAATTTTTCTCCCCAAAATCCTCTTCCCCGTCAAAAATCAGCAATCATGTCTGTTCCTAACTTCGGAGACATCGCCAAGTCGGCCAACGACGTATGCGCTTTCCCTTTCTCCCTCTCTACCTTTCTCGGGTAATCGCGGACGTGGAAAATCGAGCTCTAGGCTCCTTCCCCAGCCGAGGTCATCTACGATAAAAGAAACCACTCAGCTGACATTGGCCTTCAATAGCTCCTCAACAAGGACTTCTACCACCTTTCTGCCACCACCTTCGAGCTCAAGAGCAACACCCCCAACAACGTTGCTTTCAAGGTCACCGGCAAGACCTCCCACGAGAAGAGCACCGCTGGTGCTGTAAGTCCCGCCCTAACATTCACCGCTTGACGATGCATCAAGGGTCGCATAAACAAACAAAGATGAACCTTAGCTAACCTTATCTTTTTTACCATCCAGATCGAGGGCAAATACTCCGACAAGGCTACCGGTACAGCAACCACCACCCATCGTTTAAAGCGCTTGAATCTTAGCTTGGGTCGAATATATGGACGGCCTTACGGCAGTCCAGTCTCATTCGCAGCCAACGTATCGCCAGGATTTGCACATTTGCTAATGTTCTACCATCGCACAGGCCTGACCCTCACCCAGACATGGAACACCGCTGCTGCCCTTGACACCAAGGTCGAGCTCGCCGACAGCCTCGCCAAGGGCCTGAAGGCTGAGGGTGTCTTCTCCTTCCTGCCCTCCGCCGGTGAGAAGGCCGCCGCCAAGAAGGGCGCCAAGTTCAACCTCACCTTCAAGCAGAGCAACTTCCACAGCCGCGCTTTCTTCGACCTCCTCAAGGGTCCCACCGCCAACATCGACGCCGTCGTCGGTCACGAGGGCTTCCTCGCTGGTGCCTCTGCCGGCTACGATGTGAACAAGGCCTCCGTCACCGGCTACGCCGCCGCTGTCGGCTTCCAGGCCCCCACCTACTCTGCTGCTATCACTGCCAGCGACAACCTCAGCGTCTTCGCTGCCTCATACTACCACAAGGTCAACTCCCAGGTTGAGGCCGGTGCCAAGGCTACCTGGAACTCCAAGGCCGGCAACAACGTCGGTCTTGAGGTCGCCAGCAAGTACCGCATCGACCCCGTCTCCTTCGCCAAGGTGCGTGATGTTGTCCCGTTTGCAACCTTTTTGTATCATATCCTTACTGACCAATTTCCGCGTACAGTTCAAGGTCAACAACAACGGTGTCGCCGCTCTCGGCTACAACGTCCTCCTCCGCGAGGGTGTTACCCTTGGCCTCGGTGCCTCCTTTGATACCCAGAAGCTTGACCAGGCTACCCACAAGCTTGGTGCCAGCTTCACCTTCGAGGGCTAAGCCTTTGTTCACCACATGTATTCTTGACGAGGAAAATTCTTTCAGCTCCTTTCTCCGGCCGGGTAGCGGACCCAATGCTCTTCTGGTTTCATTTGGAGGCTCCTGTCTAGTGTAGATTAGTTCGGGGAGTAATTGAGTTGGTCGACCGGGAAATCATGGTGTCTTTGCATGCGAGCGCTTCGTGCTGATCCGAACGCTTGGCTTTCGGTCGTGTGATTTATATCTATCATGATAGATGTCTACAGGTTTATGCGCAAGCTCTATTGCTTGGTCTCTATGATTTGGCATCTTTCTTCTTTCGGCTCAGTCCGCCGGTAGCAACAAAGGGTATGAAAAAGGAAAAGAACAAGATCCCGCTGACTACCAAAAACGCTCCCACAGAAGTCTCCTGCGGTCCAACCGGGACCTGTGTGCCCATGATCCTATGCGACCGCCGCGAATCCTGCTTTTGCTGTGTCTTTGTATGCGTATGCGAATCAAAGTGCCGCGGCGCGGCCGACCTCGTGTGCCCGTACGGATCAGACCCGGGGCCCATCCCGGGCTGTTCCTTCTCCGCGCCGGTGCCGGTGGTATCCTCGTGGGCTTCCCGCCTCTTCGCCGAATGTTCGCCCCAGCCGCCGGACCTGTAGAAGCTCGGGGGCGGGCCGCGAAAGGTTGTGCGCCGCCGGGAGAGGCCCGATGCGGGGCGGCCTCCCGCGGGACCCGAGCTGCTGTGGTAGGAGCCGCGTCTGTGGGCGCCGTGGTGGCTGTTGTGGGAGGAGGAGGGGAGGGAGCGGTCGTAGGCTGCGCGTTTGGCGGGCGTGCCGAGGACGGAGTAGGCTTCTGCTATTGCGTGGAATTTGCGGGATGCGTTTGGGTCGTCGCGATTGTGGTCTGGGTGGTGGGTTTTGGAGAGGACGTAGAAGGATCTGGGAGGGACGACGACGGGTTAGCTTTAAGAGCCCTTGAAGACATGGCAATGATTGGGTGTGGGCAAGCAGGCCCATGGAGCGAGTATTGGATAGACGTTGCGGGCGGGGAATAGGACATGTTGCTATAGATCTGTGCCGCCTGAATGCGACCAGAATTATACGTAATACACAGCCAATTGGGCTTGGGTATGTAGGTAGGAACATGGCACTCACTTCTTAATATCAGACGGCGAGGCATCGTGGGCGACCTTCAAGGTCTCGTAGTGGTTCGTAGAAGCGACGTCATTTCGAAGCGCACGCGACGTCGTAAACGTACGACACGGAAACCGAGCTCGGAGGCAAATCTGTCCTGGTTCGACAGCAGGAGTAGCTCTCGTCTTCGTTGTCGTCCTCGTCGAAAATGCGCCGGCGCGGTAGAGGGAACGGGCCGCTGCAGGTTGAAGGAGCCGGGGGAGGAGCATGCCGGGCTCGAGCCCGGGCGTTTTCGAGGGGCTTGGTTCTCCGTGACGATTCGACTACGAGATTCAATTGAAGGAGACAATAGAGACTAGTGGTGGAGGAGGAGCTGGGCGAGCTTTAGGTTGTTTGGGAGAAGCTCAGGATATGATGTCGGAGAAGAGTGGAGGAAAGTGAGCGTGATTTCGGGATCTGGGTCTCTCTCGCTTCGTTTCTTACGTTCGTTGCGCCCGGGACGGAAGTAGTGACGAAATCGATGGTCGCTTTTGCTCTCGTCGGTCGGTAGATCGGAGCTTGGTGGTACCTACCCCCTGCGCCTCCGGGGTTGTGGCGCTGATTACATAAGGTAATGAAGGGTCCAATCGCCAGCAGTGAGGGAAGTTGCAGAATTACGGGACAACAACAACACTCATGCTTCTAAAGTGATTGATGTGAAGCAATTCCCAGAGCAACACACGTCATTCATGACGGATTTAAAATTTTCAGGGACCATCTGGTATGGCCACTGCGCTATTGACTCTTACTGAGTCCTCGGGTTGGGAACGCAAATGACTCCTCTCAGCCTACATTTGTCCCGACGGTTTGAACAGCTTGGAGCGCATGAGGGTATATGTGAGGATGAAAGTTTGCTGACTTGTGCCTTTTGAAGTGAGCTCCCGCACTATGGATGGTGGCTAAGATGAGAGTTATTCTTCAGGGCGACTCCTGACCGTCGCGATCACGTATTGCTTTCTATCCTGCAGACTGGTCCAGTCACTCAGGCCGAGTACCCAGGATACACGATTCCTGCCCGCGTAGTGATGTTGATCTATTCTACGTCGCGATCTGGCATATCGTGTTCGTTCTCGTAATGAGAGTCGAGCTCTGGTCAGTGTGGATACGGCCACAGTGGCCTCGTTGCATCTTAAGCCCCTCGTCTAGTCTCCTCTGGGCTTGTCATTGCCATGCCACTCTGCCTCATCCCTAATCACTGCCTCCTGTTCCTCGTGAAGCTAATTCGGCGTCTAGACTTATGATTAGCACTTCTTGTACAGAAGGTGGCCTGTATAGGAGGGTGTAGAATTTATGTAATCTCGGGGGGTATCAAGCAGGTTCCTCATACACCGTGTTTCCTTGGGGATTCTGTCTTCGAAGGAGCAGCGATGCTGCTGCTATCTTCTCCCGTTACAGTGAACCCGTACCACCTTGTCATATGTCAGCTGTATCTCCATGGCGGTACCATATGTCGGTCTTGCCTTTGCCTCGTCTCAATCATGGAATGGTTGTACTACATCGTGTCATCTGGACCGCTGTTCGATGTCTAGCCCGGATAGGGTATATGTGCCCCCCACCTCCATCCCTTCCCGGCTTCCTTCAGGGCTTGGGATTGAATGTTCTCTCATGCGTATTTTTAGCGTCCATCTGCCCGGGAAAGGGGGAGGGGTGGGGGGCAGCCGTGTGTTGCATGCTGGGAAGTGAAGCGTTGGCATCACGGACCTGGAGGCCCCTAGCCAATTGCTTACCTTACCAGGCCCCGAAGGTGACAGTAAAGCAAAGGGTTTATGTTAAGAGATGAAAAGCTCTTGTAAAACCCGAGTACCTCTGGTGGAGTAGTGACTCACTTGTCCGTGGCGCGCTGTTAAGGCTTTCAACCACCAACAAATCCGGATATTATGGCGCGTCGCCCGATGCGATGTGTTGTCATGAGAACTCGGAAAAGCGAGGTCTTGTATCCCTTATCCCTCACAGCCTTTGCGGTCATCTTTCTCGAAATACACATCCTCCGACAAAACTTGGAAGTTGACTTTGAGCAAAAGACGAGTTACCTAGCGGAGCTGATCTTCACGACAAATCTCCCAGATTCGTAAATGCAGAGGCTTCGCGACGCATTCAAACGCTCAGGGGCTCGAATAGACTTATATAATCTTTCTCTTTATGCTTAAAATTACAGTTGATGAACCTTACTCGCAGATGTCGATATCTGGGAGTGGTTGACGCTTCATTACGCTATACATGGAATGTTGATGTGCTGACATGGATATCGGTCTTTCGTATGATCCCTTTCCGACTTGAAGAGTCATCGTCGTCGGTCTCATGCTCTCTGGCACCCGCACGCGAGGTGCCCCGTTTGGCTGATGCATGATACGTTCTGTCGTTGCCACTGAGCGAGCCAAGCTTGATGCCTGGGCCAGCACTTCCAAGGGCGTCTCCGCTCTACAAGAGAGATTGGGTTAGACACCGTCTACAGCATGACGCGGAGTAGGGGCATAGCTTACCTCGCCTGTGATTTTGTAATTCCCGTCGTGAGAGGAGCCATAGTAAAATTTGAATAGTTTTCGCAGGGGAGGAAGCGACGATCCAATTATTCCCAAACTGCACTCGAGGTTGGAAGTAATGCTGATGACTCCTAGGTGATCTATAGGATATGCATGCCGCGTAAGTTTATGTTCGAAGAAGAGAAAGTGTAGTTGTAGAATATGACTTACAGGCGATCTCCGTGGGGTATTTCGCAGTGTCGTAATACTTGAGGTAAGGCATGCGGATGCAGGTAGCAATACTGGCGAAAATTCCGAGGCCGAGAATAGCTATGACTGAAACTTTCTTACGGCGAGACATTTGCAGACCGGCCACAATAAAGAAGGGAACAATGGCGCATGTCCAATCCGTCAACATCTGAATCGCAGAGACGATGTAGCTGACAGTCTGCAAGCTGATCTTCTTTTGGCATGATCCCCTGTTAGGTAAACGAAGTCAGTGGACGGACGAAAAGGGGCAATCTGATTTCCAATAAGAAGCTGATGTCCAATCGCAACATCTACTATAGCTCAAAGAAAGACTTACAATGCCGGGTTCCATGTTGCTGCAAGCGGGGTGCAGTTTGCAAAGACAAAGATCAAAGCCAAGATGGCTACGACCACCATTACAGACATGTTGAGGATCATACAGATGACCACTCGCTTCCGTCGATCCAGACGTATACAAGTGAACCCAATGGCGCACTTAATAATAGTTGACGAGATGAAGTATAGTACTTCCCAGTAGGTCTGATACTCGGAGGCGCGAATCAAGTAAAGTTGTGATGGGAGGTCGGCATCGTGGAATCCTACGCCAAAGCGTGATGCAAGAACTGCGAAAACGACTGCTGGTATAAATGGAAGCTGTTGCGCTGTTAGTTAGCGAGTTTTCGAGAGTGATCTGGTATAGTAAAATGATACGAATGGTTGAGGAGCGCAAGGCTAGTGTCTAAGCCGAGGAGACCTACAGTTCCTATTACTGCCAAATAATCTTCAACGCCCCAGAGTCGTGATGAAGCACCTGATAAACCGGCACGAACGTAGATTCGGAGTGACACGACGATGACGCTGATAATGCCCAAGATGATGGCGACAAACTCGACGGCAGGCGCCAGGCCCTTGGGGGCAAGGGGCTCAAGTTGGTAGGCAAAGGCTTGTATCTGCTCCCCTGTCATAGAAGCCGCCATCTTGGGCGTAGTTCGGTCAACCCTATGGCCTCCGCTTCACAAAGGAGGTCGTTCTATGCCTTTTCTTCGTCGCGGACCCGAGATGCCAAAGAGGGGAAGAAAGCGAATCTCGAGACGAACTTTGATCTAGACTCTAGGCTGGAGACATCGGAGGAATTCAAAAGCGAAGTGGGATGCCGGGAACATGCTGCCCACCACATGGGAAGGGAGGCATTTTACTACAGACCGCGGTTCCTGGATTTAACTGACAGCTGGATGCTGTGGGGGAGCTCCGACGTAACGTGCACCCCTGGTCAACGTCTGGTCTCATTCCCATGTCTTCTTCCCATGGTTAGGTGGAGGATTTGGCTCCTTGGACGTCCCAGAAGAGGCAGATTTTCGTAGCCAACCCCACAAACGGAACGGCAATAAGAGCTCGTTGAGACTTTAATATGTAAATACCAAGGCAAGATATTCATTTTCAACATGTCGACCTGGGCCTTGGGTTTCGACGAGTCAGCGGAAGCCACATTTTGGTCGAGATGAGCCCTGCCTCGTGGGGCGAACTGTCAGTTTTCGTCCGAGGCCCTCGCGACACCCATGGCGACGAAACCCCTTTCTGCCATCAGTGCCATGGCTTCTTCATGGCAACTTTGCAAGGCAGCACATAAGCGAGACCATCGGCTCATCGATGCCTCCTCTTCGGTCAAGGTATGTAGGTTTCGCTAACAGCTCTAGCTGCAGTAGCTGAGTTCAGTCGTTAAGAGGATTGATGCAACCCAACCAGTTTTCGTGGTGCAGTACGAGATCGCCCCTGCCCGCGATCAACCGTCTCGTTACCATCTTTGACGTGGTGGCCGCTGCGGACGCTTGTGCCGCGGGTTGGTGCAATCTCTTTTCGTCCCTGGCCTAGAACTGGGGGTTCGTTGGCATTTTGATAGGACCCGGGGGAGGGGATCCGGAGGCAGGGGAGTGGTAGCGAACTCCACCGCCCGACGCTATCCAGCCAGTCAAATAACGATGATCACCAGGACGGCACGTTGCAATAAATGAATCTAGCTGTGCCATAGGCTGCAGTTTTCGTAAAACGTCCAGGACCCTGTCTAAGAAATACCACCCAGCACCACGTACAAGCCACTGACTCGACTGCAATGCGACTTCGGCCAAAATCTGGGTGGTGTTCTTGTGCTCTAGAATAACGGCGAAACCCTAGAGGCTGGTGCTGTGCCAATTTCATCCGGGTTGATCTTTTCTTGAAACCTCATTATCACATTGGTTCGTCAGTTATGAAGCTCGATCCTTTGGGCGTACCTGTTCTGCACAACTCTGATGCTGAGAGTACATACCGTGCTAGGTACGCTAACACGATAGTGACACACACGCTTCGCGCGGAGACAGCCTATGAATACTTACTCAGTCCCACGCACCCATTTGTGCAGCCGTTAACGCAATACTCAAGATTTCTATTGGCAGAGGATCCAGGATGTCCATGCCTAGCGTGCCAGGCCGCCCAATATGTTTGACACCTGATTCTTTACCAATGCGGCGGGATTGTCCACATCACGGATAATAACCCTGGTCTGAAAAAGCCGCCAAGTGGTCTAGGTTAGCAGTTGCACCAACAAGTCACTTCATGCGGAGCTTCCTGCTGAAGAATGTTGCACTGGGGTTGCAAGATCCAGGGGTCTTATCAACTGACCACTCAGAAGCTCGAGATATTTCATCCGTTTTCCGAAGATGTGCGAATTTCCGCTGTTGACCGTCGAGAGCTCCCCTCTCTCTCATAATCATACTCTTCGCTCTTTGTTTGTACAGACAACTCGTGTAGACGGTGAGTCGTCGATCGCACTTCGTCATAATGTTGGGCACTATTCTTGCCTTCGTGGCGCTGTTAGCCCTTTATCTCATCGGCAGCGCCATCTACAACGTCACTCTCCACCCGCTGGCCGATGTGCCCGGCCCCAAGATCTGCGCCATTACTCGAATTCCATACTGGCTTGTCGCATTGAAAGGTGAAGATATAGAATGGATGAAGAGCTTACATGAAGCTTATGGCCCTGTCGTTCGTTTCGGCCCTACGGACCTGAGTTACACGGCCGGAGAGGCCTGGAATGATATCCATGGGCCCAAGGTGACTGAAAAAGCCCAAGAGTTCTCAGTTCAGCCTGTGAATGGTGCGCCATATCCCAACAGCTTAGGTTCCCAGATTCAACTTTGGCACATGAGCTAACACCAAATACCGATGGGTTGCAGGCGTCCCAAGTATGCTTACGGCGAACACCGAAGATCATGCTCGAGTCCGTCGCCTCTTCTCACCTGCCTTTTCGGAACGTGCGCTGAGACAACAAGAGCCGCTGTTCCGGAAGTACGTGGACCTTCTGATGTATAAGATCAGCGAGATTGGCGAGGAAGGAAAAAAGGCCGTGGAAATGACCCAACTGCTCAACTTCGCAACATTTGACGTCATGGCCGAACTTTGCTTTGGCCAGCCCCTTGGCCTGCTGGCGAAGAACGAATACAGCCCCTGGGTCAGATCAATCTTTGAGTCGCTCAAGATGTTGCCCATCGTCTCTATCATCAACTACTATCCCATCCTAACTACCATATTTAACCGCTTCGAGCCAAAGTCTGTCGTGGAGCAGCGTGTCACTCACTGCAAGCATTCAGAGGATCGTGTGAACCAGCGGTTGCAGGATGGCTCTGACCAGCCGGATGTCTGGAACCTGGTTTTGGCGGCGAAGGAGGGCAAAGGCCTGTCTCTCGAAGAGATGCATTCGAACTCGGAAATTTTCATGCTTGCTGGATCGGAAACAACAGGTAAGAAAATATCGTAATCTGTGGGCTTGAGGGAAAGTTGACTGAGTGCACTAGCTACACTTCTTAGCGGTTGTCTTTACAATCTGCTCACCTACCCCGATAAAATGAATACCCTTCTTGAAGAAATTCGAGGCAATTTCACAAAGCTGGATGACCTCACGTTCGAACGTCTTCAAGAGCTGAAGTACATGAATGCCTGCCTGAAGGAGGCGCTGCGCGTTTATCCCCCGGTGCCGATCGGAAGTCCCAGAGTGGTGCTCCCAGGTGGACAACAGATTCTTGGCAAATGGGTGCCTGCTGACACGCGCGTGTCTGTCCACCACTGGTCGACGTACAAATCCGAGTCCAACTTTAAGAACGCCGACACTTTTACGCCAGAGAGATGGCTCAAGACGGACCCCACCTACGCCGGAGATGCGCTGGAAGCTCACCAACCGTTCGGTTTCGGGCCGCGTAACTGCCTGGGCCAAAACATGGCGATGCACGAGATGAGACTCATTTTGGCTACTTTGCTCTTCTCATACGACCTCGAGCTGTGTGAGGAAAGCCGGGACTGGAAGAACCAAAAGGCATTTGCGCTCTGGATCAAGAACCCATTGATGATCCGCGCAAAACCATTGGCAACACAAACTAGATTGAAAATTTGAGGTAAATTCCGTCCGCTTCGCTTCGGCTCTGATCAGTAGTACCTAACACCGATGGACACAACTCAAGTTGCAATGGATACGTATACTCTTCTCTCGACCAATGGAATCGTCAATTAAGTGACGTCAGATTATTATTGTGGTTCTGAGACATCCAAGGGATCTAACCGGCGGGATGCTGACGATGGCGGGAGATCGACATTTTAGATCGTGTTAGTCCAAGCGCGACCTCGGACACATTTCGTCGACTTTTGGGCTTGACCACAATTATAAAGCAGCTCACCGATTTCTTTCTCTTCCGCATGACACTTTTTGCTTTTCTAACATGGACCGCAAAATAACAATAAATTCTTGTAATCAAATCATTTAACTATTCAAACAAAATTTTGCGCGATACCTGGAACTTTATCGTCCAGAATAGTCACAAACCTCAAAATGACGAAGGTTACCTCTAGACGTCTTCAAATATCGTCTTACATAATATACGAATACTACGTTGCCAGAGCTTCGAATTCTACTTTACCGAACCTCCTCTTTTTACACGGGTTTCCCTCCACTGCGACCGACTTCCGCCAACAACTAGAGCACTTCGCCTCCCTGGGTTACGGTGTCATCGCACCCGATCTTCTTGGCTACGGCGGAACTTCCAAGCCAAAAGACCCGCAAGAATACACATGGCGCAAAATGAGTACACATATCAAAGCCATACTGGACGCGGAGAACCTCCACACTGTGGTAGGCGTAGGCCACGATCTGGGTTCATGGTTCCTCAGCAGGCTTTACCACTTTTACCCTTCCCGGTTCAGGGGCTTGGTGTTCTTAGACGTCGGATACTCTGTACCCGGAGAGAAATTTGATGTCGAGATGATCAACCGAATGACAAAAAAGATGACTGGCGAAGAGAGATTTCGATACTGGGATTTCTTTACGGATGATGAAGAGGTGGCCCTCATGGATCGAAATGTCGAGTCTGTGATATCTCTTATGCATGCTTCACCTGAAGTCATGGCTGCGAATCTCGGGCCGCCTGGAAAGGCTCGAGAATGGGTCTCCTCTGCAAAGATTGCGCCAACCCATTCTTTTGCCGACGGAGATGTTCGGAAAGACGAATACTTCCTGACAAAGGTTGCTTCGTTCAGGACAGGTGGATGGACAGGCCCAACAAACTGGTACAAAGCGCTCCGAAACAACTTGTCTTTTGAAGATGAGAAGGATATGGATAAAGGGCTTGAAGTGCCCGTGTTACTAATCGGCTGTGGAGGAGACGAAATGACTGTTGCTTCATTGCAGGATCAGATGACGAGGCCGTGGGCAAAGGCCGGGTATCACTTCGAGGTGCTCGAAACAGGACACTGGGTCATGCATGAAGATGAAGAGGAAACTAATCGATCGCTGCAAGAGTTTCTTGAGAAACTTGAGTGAAGTTGATATCACCATGTCCAAATATCATTTGGCCTTTGTTTAATTTGACAAAAAGAAAATCAGACCCTAAAGATGAGTTTAACGTTCAATGTGTCTCAAGGCGTTAATGAGAAATCGCAAGACGCCTCATACCTAGCGTCATATCTCATCAAGCACGACGGCCCAGAAGGCTTTTAGTTCGGCCTGTTGTGCTTCATTTCAAGCTCATGGATAATGCCTAATTTAAAGCGGACGAAGTCGTATAGACAAGGCTAGGAATATTTTCCACCGGATCAACGTGAGTTGAAATAACGACGTCATCACTCAGAGACGAGCCATGATACCGTACCGCCAGCATGCTTGTAGCAGATCTTGAGCCACCAGCTCGGCTCCCTCGGTTCTTCAAGCCAAAAAACGTCTATCGCGGGTGCCGAGAGACTGCAGGTCGACCCTTCTTGATCCACCGCTGAGCAAAGCTACTCGAACTTGCTCATTGGTCAGGTCGATTGAAAATCAAGTCTAAAGACAACCCTGCTGAGTGAAGATATACCGACCTTCGTTCCCGCCTTCAGGTATAGATTATAGCACGGACGGCGGATCCTATGCTAAGCTTTTTTGAGATCCCTTGGCCTTGAAGAAAAAAGACTTGGTTCAGCGACAGGCCTTTTTGCTCTATCCACACTCGAGACCTCGGCTAGGAGACCCAGAAGGAGTTGAATGAGATGAGCTTAGCTGTGGCTAAAAATACACTGTGGGCAACCAGTGCTAGGCGGTGTGCTCTGGCCATCTCCATTTCGATCATCAAGCAATTATTGGCCATGAGGTAATCTTATAAAAGGCTAATGTCTAAGGATAAGAATTGCAAAGACATTAAAGAGGAATCTTCATTACTGCGATTTCTCGAGGGATATAGATTGGTATCGGCCGTACAGCTTTATCCTCTGGCTCTCCGCTAGACTTTGTCGATCCACACCTGCATGTAGCTATCGGAATCCATACAGAAACCATCTTTGTTAATGGCAAGTCGCGAATTCATCGGGCTCTCAGATAGACCATCATGCAAGCTGTGCTGCGCTTTCGATCCACAAGCCCCGGAGTAACCTTTCAACGCGGTCGCAACCCCGCTTGTGGGATCCGTCTTGGCCTTCGGACCCGGTCGTGGCAGGCAGCAGCTTTAGATAGGCGGGCCCGGAGTCGGCCATGGCCTGAACTTTGCATCCATCTAAGGAGGCTTGCTACCGTTTGCCTGTCTTGTACTCCGGAGACAACCGGGAACTACACCTTCAGGAGACCGTGCATTGGCTAGTAAAAATCTGCCAATCATGAGTCTTGACACAATTTCACACTCCAAATTTCCTTTTTGTCCTTGGTCCTAGCTCAGGTATGAATGCTTCCCACTCTCAGCCACATTCGGCCAGAGCTCTGACGATGCCATCAAGCAAGGAGAAACAGTGGGATTATGGTATTCGAGCCGGTGTTCTGACACTGTGGGACTGGGGTGGAATGACAGCCAAAGAGATTTGCGAGAAGTATGGAATGCCCCTGCGGACTTTCCACGCGATCCACAACAAAGCTCTAGCCCGAGGATGGGGACCAGGTCAACCGGTGCTAATTGCTCATGTCGAAGACGGAGCTCGCTCCGGGCGCCCGAAGACGAAAGGAGACGGCTCTGACAGGCCCCTCGAAGGTGTGGCTAGTATCGACCCAGTCTCTAGCCAAGGGACGTAGAGACAAACTCCACAGTCAAGTCTGGACGGAATCAAATCTATGTGAGCAGTTTCTGTACCTCGTGTTGAAGACATATGGACCTAACCCCATCTTTCAAAAAGCCCGCTTCATATCCGCCCGGCGATACTTGTTGCGGCTCGCGATGAGTGGAGGCGTGCTGCAATCTTAGCAACGACAGGAAAGCCTTCGCTTGGGTGTATTTGGAGACCTGACCACGCAAGTCGAGAGACTCGAGGCTGCAAGAAGATAGTTAGTACGGATAGACCAGGTGGGCATAGGAATAGGCATTTGTTATCGAGCATAAAGGCATCGCCATGTTATGTCTCCTTGTTTAAGTGAACCTTATCACCTGCCTTCAACGATTCGTCGCTTTCTTTTCTTTAACTCCTGACGTCCAAAGGCCCGACAGATTCCCTTTAGCAACAAAAATTCAAGCATGATAGGCACCCGCTTGCTCGCAGCCGTCTCAACGACTATGTTCTTGTTCATGGAAATAGCCACGAGAGACCACCCTCCTTCGCGTATCAGAATCCGGACGCGGATGTCAGTCGAGGCTCCCTGACCAAGTACATGAATTCCCGTGATAACATCACAGAGTACATGCTGGAGTATCGACGGGCATTTCCTCCAGTCTCAGACTAGGCCAATAGTGCTGCAATTCTCAAGCGTCAGGATGAAGGGCCTGGTGCGGGGGCCCTTCTTTGTCCCTGAATGCCTACAAACAATACAGCATCAGGAGCGCTAATCAGAAATTCAGCCCTACCCAGAGGGCACACGTCGCGAAGCTGGTAAAGTTAACCCACAAGGCAGGTGACCGCATTAGCGCCTTCAAGACTTGGCCTAACCCCTGCGATGACGTGGGCACTGAAGACTTTGCGAAAGTCTTCGACACTTTGACGGGTGACGCTGGCAACGTTGTCAGGTTTTGCAAAGCCCACGTAATTTCAGGAGGGTTGTCGTAGGAAGGGAGATACTGCATGTCTCCGAGAGTAGTGTGAGATTCGGAATGCAGAAGAAGGCATTGCTTGACTCCATTTTCTGGATAAACATAATATAAGTAGAAAAGCGAACTAATGGTAGAGGTCGGTTATAGTAGCAACAACGACAACGCATAACCTGGGTATTCTAGCTGCCTAATATAGTCATAATACTCAAAGTAGCCAGCGTTTTCTTCATAACTGCAATGTAAAGTGGGTGCGTAAATTTCTTACATACTTAGTCACACTTACCCTGGCTCTACTCATGACTTAAGAAGGGCGGAAGCTGTGTTGACCAGGTAATCAGATTGACCCGCTCAGATAAACAGCCCTCAATGGAGTTACATAAGTTCATGGTAAAAGACTAGATTTCTCATAAATGAGGGATTAAACTGCTTCGTCTACCCTGAAAGAAGTATAGGACGCTGGCGCTGGAGCTCGCGAAACCCACCTCTTCTCGGAATCCAAGTCCCGATGCCAGAACCGATTGGTGGAAGGGATTCGAAATTTCGGAAGAGTACCACACTGCACCTGCTTCAGATAGCGACAAGGACACAAGAGCTCAAAAATACGAGAGTATGATAGCTTCTCTAAGGGACGAACCTAAGAGGAGATAGCCTAGATAGGCTGCGATTAAAAGCCTCGTCTATAAAATACATCACGAGCTTCGAACTTCCATAGAGATGACCGCCCATCCTACATCGCTTCAAGAAAACTTACAGTCACTTCTCCAAAATGAGAATCACCACCACCTTCGTTTCCCTTCTCTCCCTTACTGCCAGTACGATGGCGAGCCCAATTCCAGAGCCAGCTGCTGCTCATGTACGCCTCTCCCAGCCGCACGATCTGCTAGTTCCTCTTAGAATCTAGACAATCGATATCAGTTCTGTCGCTAACGTATGCCATCAAACAGAATCCACGCGCTGCCTGCCCAGCCCAAGTCAACAGCGCCTGCAGCAAGTACAGCAACGCCAATGGCCAGAGACAATGCCGAGGCGGCCAATGGAACTGCGTTCATCTCAACCCGGTCACTCTGGATGGGAATTTTGTCACCTATACTTCAACGGGTGTTTCTTGTTCTAAGAATGGAGAATTGTGCTCCTGAACACTGTGAATGACGTCAATTTGTCGTATCTCCGATGTCAAGAGGACGCGCATTCTATTGGGCTTTGAATTCACACCTTACTTGAACGGACGTCAATGAGGTAGCCACTAGAACCTCCGGTTATCGCATGCTGAACAGACAAAGACGGTCATTTGTATACAGAACCATTTGTAATTACAAGATAAAAGACTGCTCGTCTTCATTGATATGTAATCGAAAAGTCAAGTGGATGTTCTGTACGAGAAGTTCCACAACATCAGTAGTAGTAACGACACCCTCGCCAGAAGGCCCTTGTTTGATACAGGGAAAAAGTGTACGAGGAGACTTCGATTCCCAGTTTCTCAATTGGCGACTAAGATGTTAAATCGTGTGATACAGTGATAGACTGTAGGACATGGTACCTATCATTACATGTAGGTTTACTCAAACAAAACCCTCCACTTTTGATACCACTTGGTTCTTACCGGTGCAGGCTGTTCTGCAGCGAAGATCTCGTCTAAGCCAGACTTCAGGTCGACATCCATCGGATTAAGTACCCAGGGATCTTGTCGTCCCACAGTGAACTTGTGCCCGAAGAAAAGCAGCAAGAAGATTACCACCCCGATGTACGACGTAAAGAAGGAAGAGGTGTTCCACTGTCCTGCGAGGAATACCTTGAAACCATTGATTAAAAGCAGTAGACTGAAGCCGAACAAGCTGAACATGCTTGAGTAGGGCTGGAAGCGGGAACGAAAGGGGATGTCTGTAATGCCTTGTGCATCTGATGCCTTGCGATATCTAAAGTAGATAATGCAGCAGCAAATCCAACTTTGATAAGCACCTGTATTGATCAAGTTGACGAACCAGTTGAACACGGTCGCACCAGTCGAAGCAACGTTGAGATACGCCAATAATGAGAATGCGGCACTGGCTGCCGTGGCGTAGTATGGGACACCTGACTTCGTACAGCGGGTGAAGATCTTTGGCGCGTTGCCTGCAAGGGCCATCGAGTAGAGTGCGCGGCTAGCAAGGTACTATTCAAGTTTACACGGATTAGAAGATATTCGAGGACCTATTTCAGGAGCAGGGAGGGAAACATATACCAGATAGGAGTTGCCTGCAGACCAAGCACTCAGCACGATCACGACGTTCACCACGCTGTCTAGGCCCTTGATACCTGCCTCCCTGATGCCAATAGCCCAAGGAGAAGCACCAGCACCTTTGCCACCGCTGAGGAGATTGGTATTGTTGCTGCTGACAATGATCCCCACAGCCAGAGCACCAAGAATGTAGAATGTGATGAGGCGATAGAAGTATCGACGGGTCGCAGTAGGAATATTACGGCGAGGGCTTTCCATCTCTCCGCCGGTGACGACAAGAAGTTCCGGCGCAAACGCGAACGCAAATACGGAGAAGGTAATGGTCGAGACAAATGCCACCAGACGCCCAGAATCTCCCGTCACGATGTATTCTTTGACCGGCCCTGGATTAGACCAGTTCGAAAACCAAAGGGGTTGGTGCGAGGGCCCGCCGCCAAAGAAGAGTACAAGGGAGAGGATGAGCAGCCCGATAATACCAAAGACTTTCATGCTGGCGAACCAGAACTCAGCTTCCCCGTAGACTTTGACGGGGAAGCAATTGAGGGCAATCATGACGGCGCCGATGAGCGTCAGCCAAAACGCAATGTGTAGAGGCGGCGACCAATAGTTGATGACAATGTAGGTCGCAGTGATCTCGGCTGGAACCGTGATGGAGAAGATATACCAGTATACCCAACCCAGCGTAAATCCAAGACTGCGCGAGAAAAATCGTTGGCCGTAGTAGGCAATTGAAGAGCCGGGTACTGGAAGGTAGGCACTCATTTCGCCGGTGGCCGTTGCCACTCCGTAGAGCAGAAGTGTGATGCTGATGTAGGAGATGAGGAGGAACAGGGGCCCGCCCATATTCAGGCCCTGGCCGACGCCAACGAAGAGGCCAGTTCCGATTGTGCCCCCCAAGGCGATCATTTGTGCATGTCGAGACTTGAGGCCACGTTGGGTCGAGCCGTGTTGTTGTCCCTCAGGACCTAGCACCCCTCCACGTACAGACTCCATAGGACGGAGCTCGACATCGGTGTCGGCGATGGCTGGGGACTTCATCTTTTCGGTGTCGTAAGATACTGGATTAGACATTTCGGCCTTGTAGATGTCAGTTGTACAGACGTTCGAGTTATCTAAACGAAGTTCCAGGACTGAAGAGTAAACAGCCTTCTGTAAGAACGAAGTAGGCAATCCACGGAGATTAAAACCCTACCAGACGTTATTGTAGTAAGGTTTTGATCCGCAATTGAGTTGACATAAATCAAGAGGACCAAAGGGAATGTTACTTAAATACTTGAGTCAAGATGAGGAGGGAGATGGAAGTGACTTGAAGTCGAGCAGAATTTTGCAACGCTGCTAACCAGTTCATCACGGGGTACGCAGCAGTAAAACTATCGTTGGTTTGCGCATACATTTCCGACTTAGCCCAATACCATGGGCGCGGGTATCAATCTTGGTCTGGAACGTTTCCCGATGATTATCTGGAATGTTTCCCAAGGCTATCAGCTTCATTGTGCTTAAAACCTGGCGTGACTCATGATACGCTGGGGTTAGCTTGCACTAAGGCTGATAAGGGAGGCTAGGAGGTTTTGTTGTTGGTGTTGTCGTTATTACTTTCCTAAAGTTTTGAGACTACCTACTCAGCCAAGCTTCTGGCAAGGAGAACTTCCCCGCGTAATTATCGGCTTCCCCGGACACATCCCTGAAGTCGGCTGATATGAGCGATACGCAGCGTATATGCTGGTCTTGATGCTGGCTCTTGTCGTATTTGCCTTCACCAAGACTCTCTCAAACGCAAGACTCGCAGAAGACTGACTTAAAGGCAGTGGAGGTGAAATGGAAAGTATTTCCGCGTGGCGTCGAGACAGTGTGAACCATGTTGCTGAAGAATGCAGGCTTGCTTCATCCCTGATGGCGATCACATCGGCAGGAGATCTACATCATTTGGCATGCCAATCTCATCCTCAACCGGGAGAGCCAATTGTGAAAATGACCAAAGTACAGACGCGGATTGAAAGCGAAGCAAGTCAACTCCAGCATAGTCAGCTTGACTGATGCACGGCTTGATCCAGGAACCTAAGTTGAAATTGGCCAGATTTCTGTTCTGCTTCAGAGACCGGGAATGTACTTATGATTGTAAGCAAAGTGAATAGTGATGGCAGTTCACGTACGATTATAGCACTGCTGTGTCTGATTAGCAAGCTTGCGACGCTCAGTGGGCACTGTTGAAATACCTTCCAGGCGCTGAAACCGAGGCATACATAAGGTAGCTTACGAGGTCAACCGGTGCAAAGGGTTCAGGACATTGAGATCACGAGCCTTTTACCCGAAAAGAGGAGTGTCTGCCACTAGTGTATCTGGAAATTCATAGAGTCTATCGTACTTTTTTTACGTCTAGTTTTGGGTCGGCATCACCACGCTTGCCTTACTCGCCTCCTCATCTTCCAATTTCCAGAGGCTGGTGACCGTTTTGGTCTGCAAATAGAAGTTCAAGCCTGCTTT